GAGGTAAACCTAGGGTATATTCTCCGCGATAATAGGTTAATAAGTATACCCGTGACCGCCCGCTCGAGGTATATATACTACGTATTCTAAATCTTCTATTTCTACTACTTTATACTAGGTTACGACTCTATAAATTAGGCGCTATAGGGATAGCGAGTTAAAAAACTCCCTATATAAATTCTATACTAAATAGAGGTAAACTAGGAGGTAAACCTAGGGTATATTCTCCGCGGTGATAGGCTAATAAGCGTACCGGTTACGGTCTACGTGACTTTAGATATATATACTCTATATTCTACCTATTCGAATTCTACTACTTTAGGCTAGGTTATAATTCTATAATATTTAAGTTTAGACGATAGCGAGCTTAAGAACTCCCTATATAAATTTTAAGCCTACTAGAGGTAAACTAAGAGGTGAACCTAGGGTATATTCTCCGCGATAATAGGTTAATAAGTATACCCGTGACCGCCCGCTCGAGATATATATACTATATATTCTAAATCTCCTAATTCTATTACTTTATACTAGATTATAATTCTAAAAATTAGGTATTCGGATAAGGGCGAGTTAACTAAGTCACTATATAAATTTTAAGCCTATTAGAGGTAAACTGGGAGATAAACCTAGGATATATTTTCCGTAATAATAGGCTAATAGGCGTACCGGTTTCTACTTATATAACTTAAGGTATATATCCTAGGTATTCTACCTCTTCTAATTCTACTACTTTAAGCTAGGTTATAATTCTATAAATTAGGTATTCGGACGATAGCGAGTTAACTAAGTCCCTATATAGGCTTTATACCTAATAGAGGAAAAATAGGAGGGGAACCTAGGGTATATTCTTTATAGTAAGGCGCTATTAAGCGTACCGGTTCCTATTTATATAACTTAAGATATATATACTTAGTATTCTACCTATTAGAATTTTACTACTTTAGGCTAGGTTACGATTCTATAGATTTAGAATTTAAATAATAGCTAGTTAAGGAACTCCCTATCTAAAATTTAAGCTTAATAGAGGTAAACTAGGAGCTAAACCTAGGGTATATTCTCCGCGACGATAGGTTAATAAGTATACCCGTAACCGCCTAAAAGACTAAAGGTATATACGCTACGAATTACGTATTAGGTATTCTACTACTTTATACTAGGTTATAATTCTATAAATTTAGAATTTAGAAGATAGTAAGTTAAATAACTCCCTATATAAATTATAAGCCTAATAAAGGCGAATTAGGATATAAACCTAGGGTATATTCCCTATAATAAGGGCCGAAGAAGCGTACCCGCTCCTACCCGATTAAGCTATTCTTAATAGCTAGTGAGTTCTACGATAAAGATAAGTCTATCCTATTTTACTTTATATTCTCTTTATCGTTATAACTACTATTATTTTACGAATTAGAGATAGAAATAGATTAGAGCCGATAGTAGGATATCCTTAATATAAAAATACCTAATCGTTTATTAATATAGGGCTTTAGACTAAATCTAAATTATATATCTTAAATATAAGTGCTTAACTTAAGGGTTAAGACTTAAGGTTATATAATAGTATATTATAGTTAGAGGGCTTTTATATAAATATATATTAGGCGTTAGGGTAAGCTAGATACGATATAGATAATCGCACTACTAAGATATAGTCTATAATAGACTTATTATATCTAGATCTAATAATTTAGAGGTAGTAATACCGACTATTATAGCGAGAAAGGACTTACGAAATCTTTATAAAGATAATATACTAAGTTTAGACGTTAAGAATAAGCCGGGTTATAGACGTTAAATTAGATATAGAATAGATAAAATTTTATATATATTTATAGTTAATATTTTCCTTAATTAAAGTTCGATTATATAAATAATATATTAAGGTTTTAGAACGATATATAGAATTATACTTAGAACCTATAGTATATATAAGGATAGATTATCTAAATTAATTTCGTATTATAGTTCGGGCGGACGTAGCTAGGTATATTACCTTTACGGTACTATATTCTACGTAAGTAGATTAACTAAGTACTATACCTACGGTTATAGTTACCGTTTAGGGATTAAGAATATTAAACTTAATTAAATCTTTACTCGCTTTTTACGTAAGATCCTTAAGGGTTACTAGCTTAAAATTATATTAAATTTAATAGGACTTATTATTATTAAATATTCTAAATTTTAAGATATAACTAGCCTAGTTTATAGTATGAACCTAGGATAGAAACGTAGAGTAATTTCTAGTATACTAAGTTAATTAACTAGGACTCCGTTCTACGTAAATAGATTAACCGGGTACCGTACTTACGGTCGTAGTTATAGTCTAGGGATTAAGAATATTAAATTTAATCGAATATTCGCTCGCCTTTTATATAAGATCCTTAAGGGTTACTAGCTTAAAAGTATATTAATTTTAATAGGACTTATTAAAATTTAATATTTTAAATTTTAAGATATAACTAGCCCGGTTTACGGCGTAAACCCTACGTAGAACGTATTAATATTAGGAGTATACGAAATAAATTAAGTAAGACTCTATTCTACGTAAATAGATAAACCGGCGACCGTACCTATAGTCGTAGTTACTATCTAATAATTAAGAATATTAAACTTAATCGAATCTTCGCTCGCCCTTTATATAAGATCCTTAACGGTTACTAGCTTAAAATTATATTAAATTTAATAGGACTTATTAATATTTAATATTCTAAATTTTAGGATCCGATAGACCTAATTTACGCTATAAACCTAGGGTATAAAGTTTAATAGGTTCTAGTTACGGTCTATTATAGATCTAACCTTATTTCGTATACTATAGGAACTCCCTAACTTAGTTTACGTATTTTATACTTTCTAAGAGGGTTCTAGATCTATAAATTAGACTAGAGTAAGATACGTATTTAACTAAGCGATACTAAGAATTTAATATATTTTAAGGCCCTATAGCGCTAAGGATTATATATTAAAGTTAGGGAGTTCTAATTAGAAACCGCCGGTCGGCGATCTAATTAGCCCTACCTAAAGTGCGATTTTTAACTTTAGTTAGAGCTACTACCCTTTTAATAAGGGTTCTAAGTCTAGGATTTAAACGACGTATATTTAACTACTTAGAGAAAGCTCTATAGAAGTTTTAGCGCGAATAGAGTTAAATTATAAAGTGAACCCTAGGTTACTATTTAGTTAGTTTTAGGCTAATAAGCGTACCCGCTCCGCCCTACTTAAGCTTCCGAATAGCTACTATTTAACTTTCGGAATTTCCTCTATATCCTACTAGGTTATAATTCTAAGAATTAGTGTTTAGATAGAGATCTATATTATATATAACCTTATAAGTTTCTAAATAGGTTTAATAAAAATTAATAGGGTAACCTAGGGTATAGGTTTTGCCTAACCTAGGGGTGCCCTACTTAGGCTTCCGCGAATAAAACGCTTTAAATACCGGTATATTTCGTACTATTAGCCTAACCTAGCCTAGGTTAGGCCACCCCTATAGGATAGCTCCTATAGTATAAGTTAGCCTAAGAAACTTAAAGTAAAGCTAACTTTATAGTGATTTTAACGTATATATATACGAATATATTCTATTATTCGAATCCTATAATATAAAACCCCTACTAATCGAATAATAACTAGTATTTATACCCTCGATAATAATATAGGTACGGTATTACTAGGGGTTAATCCTAGCGGCCTAGATCGTTAATTATCTAGATAAATAGTACCTAATAACTAAGGATCCTCTAGTAATACTTAAGTACCGCCTATAGCCTACTTATACTACGTTCTAAGTTATAGTACGGTATATCTATCGTTCTCCCCTTACGCGAATACAGAAATTCTAGAACTAGATAAGTATAAAATCTAGTTCGGGATAAAAAGCACTAAGTATTTACCTATAATCTACCGAGTGTTCCTAATATTATACCTCGATAAATAGGTATATATAGCACTAGGGATAGACTAAATAAATAGACCCCTAAAAATACGATATAGACCTACTAAAAACTTCTAAGGATATCTAGATAAAAGAAACTACCGGGGTATCTAGGTAGAATAGCTACAATAGGTATATACCTAGGAAATTAAATATATTATATATTCATTATAGACTCTTCCCCTAAGAATACCCGAACGAAAAAATTATACTATAGCAATACTCCTCTCGGGATAAATACCGATAAAAATACCTATTGATTACTTATAGAATACAAAACCTACTAGCAAAATACATATTAAATATAGGCACCTAGGAGCAAATATAAGTCAATTACTTTCAGATCCATCAGAATATAAGGGCAGTAGGAGCAATACGGTATTTTCGAGGAATACATTATATATAAAATACCGTTGTTACTCGATTGTGAAAGGAATACCGTAGTGAAAACTTTACCTTCGGATTACGGTAGGATAATGGTATTTCCGATCAGAGGATCTCCTAGATAGATCTAATCCGGACGGATTACTAACCGCTATTAATAATTTTCTTTTTTTCTTTTCGATTAAGGGCACGCTTCTATTAGCGTTAGAAACCCCCCCTCTAGAACCACTACTATATTAGAGGAAATCTAAGGCCTCTACTCCTTAGCGCCTCGTCCTAGCCAACTAGACGTATGTCCACTAGATAGGCTAGGATCGTCGGCGCGACTCGAGTTATGCTAAGATAACTTTTGTCTTCTCACGATAGTATTCTGACTAGTAGTAAATAGAACTTCTTAATGATAAATGGAGATGGATCCTAATGAACGATGATATTTTTCAATGTCTGCACGATGATAGGTAAAGACAGGAAATTGGGAAGGATGCCCCTCCCTACTAAAAATATTGCCCCTATGTTGGGCGGTGAGTCCCTCATCGACCCGTCACGTGATTCCTCTCCGTCAGACACTGATCGAAGACCAGAGTTCGTATCTAGTCTGATAACCTCATCTGGGTTTCTCATTCTCTGTTCCTGGCAATCTAGCCCGGGCATATTGCTGCCGAAGCTTACTATCTGTTGGTTACGAATTTGAGGCTAGCAGCGAAAGCTGGCTGACCGAGAGCAGATCGCTGATATTCGTACTGCCATCCTTTGACAATACTGAACCGCCTGTCTCTCCTAGATCCTGTATGAGCCTTTCAATGCTTTCTGCCCGGCCACTTGCATGCAAGATGTTGCCAATGGCAGCATGTAACTGTAGGTACTTGGCTTCAGGAAGATGAAAGCGATGGTCGTGGCTAGTCAATGTTATAACCCTGTTGCTGGGTAACAACGGTGTATAAATAGATGCGAAGCGTGGAAATAATTTGACATGGTAGCGATTGGGAGTCGGAGTGTCCTCAAGCACAAAGTGGAAGAGTCCGAACTCTTCATGAAGGGGGGTGATCATCATCATGATATTGTTCTCTTGGTTCACATCTTCGGGTGACATATTGAGGGTGGACAGCAGGCTTGGAAAGTAACGGAAAATGTTTACCCATACCTCAGAGGTTCGCCCTCTTTCATCCTCATTCGTGAAACTGCCAAGGGCGAACGGAAGAATGTGAACGGCCTGCAAAATACCGATTGGTTCGTCAGGGGGAGGGTCGTGAGTAGAGCTCCAGCTCCCCGTAATAGCACACCGATATCCATCTCGTCTAAGACAGTTTCGGCGAAGTCGGTCTTGGTCATTTCGACTTGCTGGTGTGTTCTCGAGGGAGTTGAGGTTTTCAACCGAATCGTCAAAGTCGATACGGGGGGATGGAGTGATGACAGGGGTCTTCCCACCCTTATACAGAAGAGGGCGTAGCAAGCTAGTATCAATGCTGGCGGCTAGCTGGCGGAGTTCATTGTCATTGCGGCAGCCGGAAACATCCTCTGACAAATTGACCTGTCCAGCTGGGGGAAGGTATTTGAAGCAAGTCCCGAGGAACTTCTTCGTATCGTCGCCGGTGTTTAGCACTTGGTAGCTTGCGAGAGTAGCCTGCAAGGATAATTTTGCCTCGGCAAAAGTAGAGAAGCCGGCGGACGAAACGGCAGAGCTAAGACTCTCTTGCGACAGCGACATTATGGCGATAGGTGGCAAAGGACCTTATGATGTCACAGCCGTGGATAGTGGGGTAGTCGTAGCGAGTGAGGAAGAGTGATTCGGGGAAGTGGACCGAGCTGCACTCCTAGCCAATCCGCACCGCCACCTGACATCCGCACGTTCTGCTGGTTTTCATACCCTGGCGAGTGCTCAGGCTGAAAAGAGAGTAGAAATGTAATCAACCCTGATGAAAAGTGATGAAGGACTGACTGAAGTGCGATGGCTTGAAAAGTAAACGGTAAAAGGTGCTGACTTCCGACTTTTTGGAACAAGAATTCGATCACATGACATATGTTTGCACAGCTGACTGGTAAAATCGAGGGTCCAGGTTGATGGCGCGTAAGGCGGTGAGAATGGTCGGAATATGTGCAGTACTACGGGACTACCGACTATTACACTGGAAGCTGAGGGGAAGAGAGATGATGTCCTACAGAACCCCATAAAGGATCTTGTCTCGCTAACTCCATTCCTAAGCACTGCCAAGAGATGGCGGCCTTAGGCCAAGAGTTCCTGTCGGAGCATGAGATCGGCATACCGGAAGTTTAGTTTATCCTGTCCACGCAGTATTTTTGATATTAGTCAGATAGTCATATTTCGAGGGTGTTGATCCGCGCACCCCAAAAAGTCACGTTTTTCACCCCATTATATAATCAATTTTTTACATAATTTGTAAGTTCGGGAAAAACAGGGCAAATATCACATGATTATCAACCTCATCTATCCATCTGATACCATACATGATGCCAAACAACAAAAATAACCTCATAATTTCCGCATTAGGCAACCCCTAAACGTATGATCGCCCTCCCCGCACTGTGAGCACCTACTTAGGGCCTTCCGCTTCTTCTTTAGACCCTCCTCCTTCCCTATTGGACCATTTCCGACCCTTTTTGTCTTCTCCGGCATATTAGGGGGTAATATTGGCACTGTTTGGGTGCTAGAAATAGGCATAAGATACCAAAATAGGTCGATTTCGCTTAATGGGATTGGCTGGTTTAATCTAATAAGATCAAATAGTCGATGCTTATAGGGAAGCCCTATTAAGCGGGTAAAATACTCTATACACTACCCAATTAGGGCGTTTTGTAGTGCAAACTCCCGCTGTTTATAGATTAATTGGATTATATATATATCTATATATAATCGAATACTTCTATATAGGGCAATATATACTATTTTAGGGGTTAAGATCTGACTAGATCCTATCTAGATCCGGAGTTCTATATACTATTTATTAATAATAGTATTAATTACCGTAAAAACTGTTAAAAGATCCCTATTTAGACCATTTATATACTTTTTTAGCTATAAATACATCCCTTCGGACCGTGATAATACTAAATTACTAAAATAGGTAATATTAATAATTAAATATCGGATAAATTTCTGTTTATATATTAGCTAAGTTTTATAAAGATAGGAAATTAAGGAAGGATATAATTTAAACTATGATTTAAGGTTATTTAACCTTAAATTATACTTATTAGATATATAAGATTAGCATAAATCACGCCATTATCGTATAAAGTCCTGAAATTAGGCGTTTTTTAGATCATTTAAGTGTGGATTAGCTATAGTAGTAATAAGGGTTTTAGCTCTTACTAATATAGCCTTATTAATATACTAAATATAGAGTAAATAGGGTAAATTAGGAAATAGAGAGTCGATAGTACCTAAAAAAGTAAGATCTCGATTAGTAATAAGTACTATATTTAGTAGTAAGCTTACCCATTCTTAGAATAATGCCTCTATAGCCTAATAATAGCCCTCTATTTGCTTATAACGTATAAAATAGGTAGTAAATAGGAAGCTCTAATTAGTCGGCGTGATACTAACTACCTCTAAAAGAGGTATTTGGTATTTATTTATCTTATATATATAATCTAGTATAAAAACCCTATTATATTTATTAGCTAGTTCGATTATATTAGAGTGGGCTAGTGCGAGAAACTCTATCTTATTATTAGATAAGAGTTTATATTTATACTTATACCCTTTTTTATTAAGTTAATTAAATAAAAACTTAGTTTCTAATCGAAGACCCCTCTCTTAGCGTGTAAATCGAGAGATCTGATTGTAAATATCGCGCCCCTTGATTAGCTGGGAGGTAGGAGACTAGATCATTTAGATGATCTTTTGCGGGGGTATAGCTATATCAGATAGCTCTTTAATCTTATCAATCTGATCTTAGGTAAACTTCCGAGATTGATAATAGCCTATTAGATCATTAGCGGTATGATTATAATCTAGATTCCGGATTTAGAGGTGCTATTTGCCATTTTGGGCATTTCCATAAAGCCTAAAAGGGCAGTCTTACCGTTTTAAGCTAGTATGGCGAGGTTTTGGCCCGATTAGGGGCTTTATGGACCATTTTGGGGTGCCTAATTTGACACATTGGATAGTCAGATTTCTACCGGTAGTACTGCGTTTTATAGCAGTACAATAACCCTAAGAAATTGCATATTTTTGCACCATTTCGACTAGCTCCTCGCGGGTATCGTATACCGCTTCCGGGGGGGGGGAGTAGTTACACTATTTATTACCCAATTAGTATAAATTGATGCCAAAGTGAGATCAAACTAAGAGAGATCTGGGGTAGATCTGAGATCTTGGTATATCTAAGATCTTGGTATATCTGGAAACTGAGGGAGATCTGGGGTAGATCTAGGAATAAGCTCACTGGTAGACTCAGCAATGGGGCTGGCAGTGGGGTTGATATCAGTCATTTTGATGAGAATGATTGGTAAAATGATGGAAATCAGAGATGTGGGGTGCAGAGAGAGAGATCAAGATCTAGGGTGCGGGGGAGAGAGAGAGAGAGAGAGATCTGGGGGGGGAGAGGGTTTAAATAGATCTTGTAAATAATGGGTTGCTATAGAGATCGATATCAGATTGATAGATGGAGTTGACAATCATGTGATATTTGCCCTGTTTTTCCCGAACTTACAAATTATGTAAAAAATTGATTATATAATGGGGTGAAAAACGTGACTTTTTGGGGTGCGCGGATCAACACCCATATTTCGAGAACTACTATGGGCACCCAAAATTACTACGGGCACCCAGGGCGCTAAGCCTTTTACGATTTACTTCCCACTGGCCATAATTTGTTCATAGCCTATCGTATTTAATATGGTACTCCCTTAGTATTTCGGACAGTACCCGAATCTTATCTGGGCACCCTATCGCGAATGTAGAATCTTGCACGCCATCTATACTATCATGCAAAAACGAAGCTATTCCCAGATGCTGATTTAATCGAGTTTTTTCCTACTAAAAAGGGGTTTAGTGCAAAAATGAGGCTATTCCTAGATGCTGATTTGATCAAGTTCCAGTGCAAAAATGGAGTTTTTTCCTACTAAAAAGGGGGTTTGGTGCAAAAATGAAGCTATTCCCAGATGCTGATTTAATCAAGTTCCAGTGCAAAAATGGAGTTTTTTCCTACTGAAAAGGGGGTTTAGTGCAAAAATAAAGCTATTCCCAGATACTAATTTAATCAAGTTCCAGTGCAAAAATGGAGTTTTTTCCTACTAAAAAGGGGGTTTAGTGCAAAAATAAAGCTATTCCTAGATACTAATTTGATCAAGTTCTAGTGCAAAAATAGAGTTTTTTGCTACTAAAAAAGGGTTTAGTGCAAAAATAAGGCTATTCCTAGATACTAATTTAATCGAGTTTTTTCCTACTAAAAAGGGGTTTAGTACAAAAATGAGGCTATTCCTAGATACTAATTTGATCGAGTTTTTTCCTACTAAAAAAGAGGGTTTAGTGATATAGGGTTTAATCGGTTACGTAATCGCAAAATAGAGGCTATTTTTTAAAGATAGTGCTAATCGAGTTTTCTCACCCTAGCTTAGCCTACCTCCTAAACTATAAGCCCTAGTACGTATAGCTTCGCAAATTTTTACTTATATCTAATAGATATAGATAGACTAGATACTATAGACCCCTAACCCCCTAACCTTCCCGATACTATACCCTCTTTCTAAATAATTACGAATACTACCTCTATTAGTATCTAAGCCGTAAAAGCTAAAGCGTTAGATATCCTTAACTTATAGTCCCTCCCGCTAGGCTTCCTAATCGTCACCTAGCGTAGCGCACCTAATAAGATACGATTCTAATATAGCTATAGTCGGGGTTATCGGACTAATCGGGCCCCCCTAAATAGATAGCGAAGGCGAGTTCGTTATATAACTTCCTACCCCTTTAAAGATAACCTTCGACTTACTACCGGTGGTATCTAGTAGGTTAAAATTATTACTTCCTACTATAATTATAGTATAGTTAATAAGTTAACTATAATTATCCCCTAAAGACGTAAGCGAAGGCGAGTCCTACCTACTATTATAACCTAGATTACCGATAGTATCTTTACCTATTATATTATAAGTAGTATTCGGGGATAGGCCGAGGCCGAGAGGCGTACTTTATATCTACGTACCCGTAATATTAATAATATTAGGGCTAATATAATATAAAAATAGCTCGCTAGACGTATCCTAATATAGGCCCTTCTTATAGATCTCCTAAGGGATAGTACTTAGATTATTAGGTATAAAGTAAATACCGTTAATAACTCCTTTACTTCCCTTTTTTTAGTCTATAAAATTAGTCTCTAGCTTTTATATATTTATCTATATATTTTATAGATAGACTATATATATAAGACTAATAAATAGAAGATACCCCTACTAAATATTATAGGAGTATCTTCTATTAGGAAGACCTTCTATATTACCTATACTTTTTTAAGTAGTAAGAAGAAAGCTACTTATAATCGGGTACTTAGCTAGCTATAGGATATCTATATAGCTATTAGTAGTAGTATAAGTATACTAATACTTATCTATACTATTATAGCTAATCTCTTAGAGTTAGAGTCTTTAGTAGCTAGTCCCCTAATACCCTATATTCTATAAAGTATACTCGAAAATAGCTATCTATCTAGCTTTATATTAATATATAACTTTAAGGATACT